GCCAGGTACCAAACGACTCTGATCCGTGGGGGTTGGGGATCGCTGGTTTAAAGAACATCAAATGCACACAGAGGTTTTTCTTTAATATTTCACCAGATCTTAGAAATGAAATTCTTTAAAGTTTCAAATCTGTGTTTCAAAGAAAATGTCCATATTTTTAAAGCCAAGTGTTTGCCAGCCCATCTTCCTGCTTTGTTTTTAACCATTGTGCCCACTAGAGGGCACTTTATTATAAACAGACGCTGCTCTGAGACATTTGTTGAAAGATTACGACACCTTTGTGTTTCCAGCTTGTGTATGAGATCACATGATACATAAATGCACTCTTATTGGTTATTTTTAAAACTTCGCATCTTTTACAATAACTCAGTGACTCTGTTTCTGCTCCATGTGTAAAACACTGTACTAAGTGATGGTAATGTGTATCTGTTCACACAGAAACAGAATGAGTGCAGATTGTATAAACTTGTTCACAGATAAATATCACATTCATAAACACAAACTACTTCCTTTGAAAACACTACTGGAGTATAATAAAAGAAGTGTTCCTCGTTCTAAAACACATGACTCATGTTATGGTGGCATAAACTGATTCTGACTGTGACTGAACTAAAACCCAGATATATCAGTGATTGAGGACAGACATGGATGTCCCCAGTGAGTGAGCTGGACCACACACATCAATAAAACAGTAACTAAGATGAATGTGTGCAGCGTCTTAAGCTGAAAAATCTCCAGAGACATGTTTATTTTAAAGAGCATCTAAAATAAAGTCTCACAGATTTCATTTCCTTGAATCAAAACTTTAACCACTGACACATGCACAACCTTTATTTGAAGCTTTTGTGTGAAGTTTCCAGCCACTGAATAGTGTCCATGTTGCTTTTAGTCTGCGGCTGTGGTTTTATTTATTTTGTTCTTTGTTATCTGCTCTGAAGAGAAGCATGCATGGGTTAGCCACAGCAACTCATGCTTTCCATCAGAGATCTTCATGAAACCCACAGAACCACACGAGAAGAACAACAAGTCAGGCCAAAGTTTATTGATCGTGCAGAGAAACCAGATCTGTGCAGGAGACAGAAGCACACTTAGAAATAAAAAAGTCAAGTAAATACACTGAATTGCATTGTTGCTTTTCATGATGTTCTGCAAATTTGTCCCACAGTACATGTTTCAGATCATCAAACATATTTTAATATCAGACAAAGACAAATCGAGAAAACACAAAATGCACTTTTTAAATAATGATTTCATTAAAGAGAACATTTATCTAAACTACCTGGTCCCCTCCGAAAAAGTAATTGTCCCTTTGTTAAATTGTGAAATACATTTACATTTTTTTGGAAACATCCTGCCACAATCTAAATAAACACCTGAGAAACAAAGTCATCGACACATATCAGTCTGGAAAAGGTTACAAGGCCATATCTAAGGGTTTGAACCGATGCTGCTCAGACTCTGCAGTTGTGGTTTTATTTGTGCTTATTTGTTATTATCTCCTCTGAAGAGAGGTCTGTATCGAGTAATCTCGATTTGGTCTCTCTGACGTTTTAAGAGCATATTTAGTGAGAAGAACAATGAGAATGTATACAATCTGTTTTACAATGAATGCGCTCAGGGTTGAGGACCAGCAGCTGGTCTGGTCTTGGTCTGGTGGATTACTTCAGTGAGGAGTAGACCACATTTGGCTCTGGTAGAAAATCTGAAAATAAAAACATAGACAGTTCACACAGTTTGAGACCAGTCAAAGTGAAAATAATGCAGAAGTCACTTTTTGGATAGAATTTTCCTCAGGAAACAGTTTCCAGTTCAACAAATCTTCCCTGTTTTCCTGTCTTTCTTATACATTTTGACAGCACTAATTTATTTGAACAAAAAAGCACCAGCTGCTGCTCAACACATGAATTATATCAAAGTTACATGAATGAAACTCAGCTCTTTCTTTATTAGTTTCACATTAAAGGCCTTGCAGTCAAACCTTTTAATGTGAAAGAAAGCAGGAAGTGTTAGGTATTTCATGTAAAGGAAGACAGTCTCAGCACATTGTAGACTCATTTTACTTCAACATGAGGGAGAGTGATATATGTCAGAGTAGTTAAAGTTTGTTCTGGCTCACATCAAGTGAATAAATGATGTGAAAGGGAACACTGGTATGCACCCAGTACAGCTTCAATTATCATAATCACAATGTTGCAGCTAAAATGTAAGCATTTTTAAATTTAAAATAAAAAGAAGGTAAATATAAGGAACATTATTTAATATCTAACACCTCTGCAATATACTAGTACAGGAATTAGATTTAATTTGCAGGTTTTGTTTTCAAATTGTGATTTATGTTTGTCTAGAGAGAGGTGGGATTGATAGATAAGTCCTGCCATCCAGCCTTTAAATCAGGGGTCCCCAATCCCAGTCCACAAGGGCCAGTGTCCCTGCAGGTTTTAGATGTGTCCTTGATCCATCACAGCTGATTTAAATGGATAAATTACAGTCTCAACATGTCTTGAAGTTCTCCAGAGGCCTGGTAATGAGCTAATCATATGATTCAGGTGCGTTGACCCAGGGTGAGAGTTAAAACCTGCAGGGACACCGCCCCTCGTGAACTGGGATTGGGGACCCGTGCTTTAAATCATTATGGCTGAGGGAACTGTGCTTATCCAGAAGGCCAACCTGGCAAGAGACTTAAACTTTTTATACAGAGAGCCAGCTCCAGACTTTCCTGTACTCGGGGTCATACAACACAGAATCTTCATCAGCTCTTTCCAGGCTTCTTCAGTTCCTAGAAAGACTGAGACACACCCAAGAGATACAAATAGGTCGTGTCCAAATTCATGGGCTGCATCCTCCTGAGGCCGCATTTGTAG